CAAGCCTACCAGTGAGGCCCAGATCCCTCACCACAAAGGGTTTTCTCCTTCCCCCCCCTCCCAATTCCTCCCATTTTGGTGCCATGACTAGAGCTTAAACACAGATCTAAGGCTGTGGCTTGGCTTTGTCACTCAAATGCTGCTGCTCTACCACTTGAGCCCCAGCTCCACTTCGGACTTTTTTTGCTGGCTAATTGGAGATCTCAACACCTTTTCTGTCCATCCTCAAGATCTGTTTCCTCAAGTTGGGATTACAGGCACCAGTCACCACCAGTGCCTAACTGTAATACAGGTGCTACCGTTATTCCTCCATGAGACCAACTCCCATAACGCACTGCTGTTCCTAAAGCGTTGGTGGAAGGTCCTCATCCTAATTGTACACCTTGACTACTTTTACTTTATTAGACAGTCTGCTAAAATCCTATGCTCAAACAAATGTAGAGTTCCTTCCTTAATAAGGTCAAACAGTGCTAAACTCTTTGAAGACAACAATTTGTAATCTCATCTGAACGAGGGTTCTTTCAAATAGCACAGAAGTAACCCGATTCCAAGACAGCTTTAGCTCTGTAGATTTGAAATGTGATCACCTCAAGTCATTCAACATAAACTAGTCTATAAACCTCAGCTTCCTACAAAATTCAAAGTGCAACATTTTCAATGAAATGACTAAATCCTTACATCCTTATAAAGGTTTTCCTATTTGAAAAGTGAAGGTAAGCATAATACAAGTTTATGAACTCACCTGAACTGTGCTATCCTAAACCTCATTATCACCCACTTCCAGACTTCAAGTATTTTTGGGTTATCTATCTACCAAACTAAATGAGAGACAATTCAAAGACGAAGTACTATTTTGTGTGATCACACTGAATTTGCAAATATCAAAAGGAGACCCACAAAGTCCAATTTCAACTTTTTTTTTTTTTTGGATCAGTCATGGAACTTGAACTCAAGGCCTAGGCAGTCTCTGAACTCCTTTGCTCAAGATTACTGCTCTAACCACTTTGAACCACCACCCCACTTCCAGTTTTCTGGTGGTTAGAGATCAGATTCTTAGACTTTCCTGCCCAGGCTGGCTTCAATCTGTGATCCTCAGACCTCAGCCTTTTGAGTGGCTAGGAATACAGGTGTGAGCCGCCAGCACCTGGCTCAAGTTCAACAGTCTCAATTGTTTTAAAATGCAAACTTTCGCCACTGTCTCTCCAACTTAATTTCATATCCTAATGTGGAAGTATGTCAAATGGATGCAGGAGACATACAGAAAAAGCATGTTATTTTCCTAAAGTTGATCTGCTCCCATAACCCAAGAGGTCATTGAATGCCAACTCAATTCCTTTTTGGGAAGAGAATTTACAAATCCATTTAGAATTTTCTTTTTTTTGCTGATATGGGCTTGAACTGAGGGACTCAAATTTTCTTGGCTTGACCACTTGAACCATACCTCCAGCCTGGCATTTTGCTTGGTTATTTTAGAAGATGGAATCTCATTGGTTTTTCTGCCTAAGCTGACTTCAAATTTTAAATTGTTTGGCTCTCAGCCTCCTGAATAGCTAGGATTACAGATGTGAACCACTAGAACCCAACTTTTTTTTTTTTTTCCCCTATGTAGGAAACTGAACTTACTACTTTCTGAAATTAACAGGCTTGGGCCAGTTGAGAATTAAAGTGTTCTGACTTAAAACTGTGGTTGTAACTCATTTTCCAAAGTCAAAATATATACATACATATATATGTGTGTGTGTGTGTGTGTGTGTATATATATATATATACACACACACACACACACACACACTATCTCCCACTACTCCCTGATTAACAGCTGAATTAGAACACAGGAAAACAAGCTAAGATCTTAAGAAACCCATTAAACCAAACTAATCTTAGCAAGTGACATGGGTCAAGGGACTTAAGCTCATTAGCAAAGACCACTGGACCATTCCTATACATGAAAAATGTTAAGATCTGAAAAAGCTGAACATAACGACCAGCTGTTGCTAGAATAGGAAATATGACTTTCTTGTGTTTACTTCCTAGCTGTGTGAATGCATGACCTCTGAACTCTAATGTTTATTCTATATGCGGTAAGACAAAGGATGGTACTTGGGATTGTTGGTAGTGCTAACCTTAAGGCTCAATTCAATTGTGCAGGTCCAATGCTATTCAAACCCTGTGATCATTCCATTTTGATGACTCATTCATCTTTTGTTTTCTGAGATTATAGCATAAATCCCTCAAGTTATCAGCAGAATCTGGTGTACACTTACTACTCTACTTCTACCTTTTTATGTGTATGCTAGGCATCCTGGGGCTTGAACTCAGGGCCTGGATGCTGTCCCTCCATTTTTGGGTTGTTCAAGGCTAGTGTGTTCTACCACCTGAGCCACAGCTCCACTTTTAGCTTTTTTCCTAGTTCATTAGAGATAAGTCTCACGGACTTTTCCTTTGAACCATGATCTCAGATCTCAGCCTCCTGAGTAGCTAGGATTATAGGCCGGAGTCACCAGTGCCTGACTAAACTCCCCAGTAAGCACCTAACACGGGCACACACATATTTCATACAATAATCAGGAGATTAATTACCTAGAACAGGTGATACTGTCCACCTGCTATTTATGTGAGATAGGATTTCAAAAATGAAAGAAATCCTGTAGCACACATTTGCTGTTCCACTCAGCAAAAGACAGCGATACCAGTGGTTGATTCACTTTTACAGCCAATAAATGTTAGGGATGAGTCATCTTCTGAAATCTAATATTACCCAATGCCCTCTATAGGACTTGATAAAGATACCCATTTGAAAATCACTACATCTAGTTAGTGACCTTAACCTTCAGTTTGCATATGGAGAAAAATAATTGCTAGGTTATCCGTATTTTGTGTGTATGTGTGTCCATACTGGGCCTTGAACTCAAGGATTCACACTCTCAATTTGACTTTTTGCCCTCAGTGCTGGGCGCTCTACCACTTAAGCCACAGCTCCATTTCCAGCATTTCTGTGGGTTGCGTGGAGTTGTCATTAAGAGTCACTGGGATTTGACTGCCCAGGTTGGCTTTGAATCTCAATCCTCAAATCTCAGCCTCTTGAGTAGCTATGACCACACAAGGTGTGAGTCTCACCAGCATCTGGCTAAGGTAATCTATAACTTATAATCTTGAAATAAAAATTATGATTTTTTTAAAAAAGTTTTTTTTTTAGACAGGTTTTAGTGTGTGGCCTAGGCTATCTGAATTCTTCCTGCCTTTGCCTGTCCAATAGCCGGTGTTCAAGGTGACTTTTTTTTCCACAAGTAATTCAGGCTATCTTACCTTTCCCTTCACCACAAGCTTAATATAAGCTACCAAAGCCCAAGTTGAATCCCTTCCAATGATTCCTGGCCTGGACCCAATAAAGTTCGGATAACCCAAGTTAAAAGGACAATTATTTACACTGAATTAAAAAGCAGCTATGAGATTCAGGTACCTAGGATTCGTCATGTGAAGTATGATAATGCCACACTACATTTTAGTCTCAACTAACCCTTTCACAGTAAATCTACACTGAAGTAGATAAATAAAACATTGCTATTCCTATGTACACTATTTGCAAATGACATCCTGAATGCGAGCCATTAAGCAAAGTTCAATTTGACAAGCTGCTCTGTCCCTGGCTTAGTCGTGAAAAGTGATTTACACACAGGTTTGTTTCACACGTGTGCAAACAGAACCTGCAACCCATTTCACACACTGTACACATCAGAGGGCGGCAGGCTCGGGAAAAGGAAGATTACATTATTGCTATATTGCCAAGATTTGAGTTTCTTCCAGAAATACTTTAATAAAAATTGGCCGTTTCCAAGAAACACCCACTGCATGCCCATTCATAGAGAGAACCATAACAAAATAGGAAATTCACCATATGGCTATGATTTCAAAGGAAACATTGTAGACACTCAAGCATATTGGCAAGGTGCAAGAGTCAGGTCACAGTCTTTCTTCTGGGCTATGATTAGGAATCTGATACCAAAATAAAACTTAATACAAATGCTGGGCTAGGTCAAAGAACCCCACAGAAGCATCTGTGCTCAAGGCATTCCAGTTTGAGATTTCGGTTTTGAGAATAAGGCATGACAAAGGTTTAAGTAAGAGAAGACATACAAGGTGGGTGCGTTTCTACCATTCCCCACAATCCTCTGAACCTGATAAAGCAAATCTAGAATTTGTTATTCTTTTTCTTGAAAACAATCACCAAGACTGAAATCGAAGATAAATAGAAGGCACAACAGTTTTGCTCTGGTTTTTCAGATTTGGGGGAAATTTTGTTTGTTTTCTCTCTTGTATTTTTTTTTCCTTTTTGTTTTTTTGTTGTTGTTATTTTTTACAAATACAAACTAAACATGAAAAACGCTACCTGGAAAAATGTAGTAGTTCAAGAAAAATCTCAGTTGCATTCTAGACATTGAAAACCTACCTCAAAATTTAAATTTCAATGGTCAAAACAGTAGGTTGTAGACTTGTTTGGTGATCACATATCCAAAGGAAAAAAGTTCTATTAACACCTTTTATTCAAGACAACCATAGCAAGTGAGAATCAAACTTGTCAAATTTTCCAAATGGCAATTTTTCCACATCAGAAGGTAGTCAGGACTCAAGGAACAAATTGGATTGTTTTTTTCCTGCCTCCAAAATGTTTATCAAATCCTGTATTTGCCACAGGTGTTGGAAATAGGTAGAAAATAAGAAATATTCCAATGAGTGAAACATACCAAATGTCAGTAATAAGCAAGACACATTCCTTTGGGGAAATGGCTGTTTAAAAAAAAAAAAAATCCAGTCCGTATATGCAAAGTAAGCAAGGAAAACCAGTCTGTTTTTCTTCTTCTTCTTCGTTAAAAATCCGTCACTCCTAGAATCTCATTCCACAAAATTGGAAGTGAAGGACTAAAAGGTCAGGAGAGGGAAGGGAAGGAAGGGAAGGGAAGGGAAGGGAAGGGAAGGGAAGGGAAGGGAAGGGAAGGGAAGGGAAGGGAAGGGAAGGGGGCAGATACCCTAACACAAAAAGAAATAAAATTGTACAAACTTAGCAGTTTATAATAGACTAGGGTCATCAAACTCCAGGATACCAGAGGCTGGTTGAAGAAATCCACCCTTCTGTAGGCGCTGGGGTTGGTGTGCTGTGCGGAGCCCATGGAGAAGCCTTCACTGTCTGGGAGCGATGCCCCTTCCCACTCCAAATCCTGGTTTGGGCACCAGGCCTCCCCGGGGTGGGCCTCTCATGCCCCCGCCCAGCCCACCTCGAGGGCCTCCGGGCCCCCGCAGGCGGTTGTCCCGGCGATCGCCTTCTCGGGCCGCCCGCGTCTTCTTCTCCTCCACGTTCAGACGGACTTCACCTCGAAACATGATGGGCTGCAAGAACCAAGGACCAGACTGACTCTGGAGGCTCAGAGGGCTAATAGATTAGATTATTATTATATTACATGTAATTATATATAATCTATTAGATGTAATGTAGAAGTAGCAGTACTATTATTTAGATACATATTTATATGAATTTTTAAATATATAAAGACATACAGGTACTTAAATACAGCTATATAGAAATATGTACTTATATAAACGTATAAATATATTTCTATATATAGAAATCGATATATAGATTTATGTAAATATATCTATATATTTATATATTATTCTATATATTTACTTGTTATTAATCTATAGCAGTACTGCTATTCCTATATATTATATCTAATAAATAATACACAGCACATATTGATAGGATACGCAATAGATGATAAATACAAGACATCCATATGTATGGTTGGATATATATGGCTAAATGTATAGATATAGCTATCTATCGATATATGTCAGAAAGAACCAGCAATTCTCAAACCAAACTTGTGTTCACTTTCCAGTTTTTGTTTTGAATTCAGAAAGCCTGTCAGCCTATTAACTAATGCATGGAGTAGTTAGGTATTCAGGATGAATCAAGTCATGAGGGGGCAAAACTGATTGGAATGCAGCAAAACATGTTGAAAGATGTAACAATGAAATCTCCCTTGTATAACTGATATAAGCCGATTTTTTTAAAGCCCATTTAATAGTCCCATAATGCATGCAATTCTCACTGTATTGACTCAATGAAATCCTATGTAAAAATGAAATAATATTAACTATGAACCTTTCTCCATGGGTCTTGGAGGCTTACTTGAGATAAAAAATATCATCACGTGGCTGGGCACAGGTGGCTCATGCCTCTAATCCCAGCTACTCAGGAGGCTGAGATCTGAGGATCAAGGTTCAAAGCCAGCCCGGGCAGGAAAGTCCATAGAACTCCAATAAACCATTAGAAAACCAGAAGTGGTGCTGCAGCTCAAGTGGTAGAGTGCAAGCCTTGAGCTGAAGAGCGCAGGGACAGTGCCCAGGCCCAAGAGTTCAAGACCCATGACTGACCAAAAAAAAAAAATCATCATGTATTTAAAAGATGTCACCGTATGTACTCATGAAAAGCATATATACATCCCAAATAAAATTATCATTAGGGCTGGGAATGTGGCTTAGTGGTAGAGTGCTTGCCTTACATGCATGGAGCCCTGGGTTTGATTTCTCAGTACCATATACACAGAAAAAGCCAGAAGCGGCTCTGGGTCTCAAGTGGTAGAGTGCTGGTCTTGAGCAAAAGTTCAGGGACAAATGCCCAGGCCTTGAGTTCAAGCCCAGGACTGGCAAAAAAAGTCACTAAAATGACCTATAAATGACCAACAAAATGTCTAGAGGATTGCAATGAGGTCAGGAAGACAGAGACAGAGACTCAGAAGGACTATGCTATGCAGCTATGTTTGTGTTTGCTCTCTGATGGGAGACTTTCATCAATACAATAAAAATAAAGACCAAGGAGGAAATCTGGAGAATAATTCCTAGGCAGGAAGGCCTTTTAATAATGGTCAGATGCATTAGCATAAATTAACTTTACATCTAATACACAGATTGGAAGATGAATATACTTTAGAGAACCAAAATACAGCCAGCACTGGTTGGTGGCTCACACCTGTAATCTCAGCTACGTGTGGAGCTGGGATGGGGAGGATCTTGGTTTGAGGTGAACCGAGGTAGATTCAATTTCGAGGCACCTGCCACCCCAACTGTGATAGCATCAATCGTGGATCGTGGCTCAGGTGCACATACGGGCAGGAAATGAGACTCACTCAAAATGGGGCCAGACGCATGACTTAAGTGGTAGAGCACCAGCCCAGAAAATATGAGGTCCCGAATTCAAAGTCCAGCACAGCCAGGCACTAGTAGCTCCACTGTGTGATCCTAGCTACTTAGAAGGCTGAGACCTGGAGAATCTTGTCAAAGCCAGTCCTAGTAGAAGTTTATGAGATCCTACCTGCAGTTAAACTAGCAAAATGCCAGACTGGAGGTATGGCTCAAGTAGTGGTACAGTGCCAGCTGAGAGCAAGAAAGTGGATTGAGAGCTCCAGGCTCAGCATGCACATGTGTACATGTATGTGTACGTACGTACGTACACACACACACACACACACACACACACTCACTCACACACACACACCCCTTTGCCCCTTCCCCCTCCCCCAGGGTACTGGGGATAAAACCCAGGGCCCTTCAGCATGCTGGTCATGCATTCTACCAATCAGCTATACACACTTAAAAAAAAGGAGGGAAAGAAAAAAATTAACCCAGAAAAACCACTTACCCTGTTGCTAAGGACCTTCTGCACAGGTTCAGAGTCATCGAACACAACAAAACCAAAGTTGGGCAGCTTGCCACCGCTGTTAATGCGCAACTCCACCACGTTCCCATAGTCTGCAGGGGAAGGGGATTTGCCATTAGTAGCAGAACACTCCAGCACCCATACGCAGAGAACAACATGGCTGGTAGGAACTTGAAAGGTTCCTCATGCATACTGAGAATACCCTGAGGAGAAAAACCACAAGACCGGCTAGGAAAAAAAAAAAAAATGCTAGGCCAGGTGCTGGTGGCTCACGCCAGTAATCCAGCTACTCAAGAGGCTGAGATCTGAGGATCCAGGTTCAAAGCCAGCTTGGGCAGGAAAGCCCTTGAGACTATCTCCAATTAATCACCAGAAAACTAGAAGTGGCACAGTGGCTCAAGTGGTAGAGCGCTAGCTTTGAGCTGAAGACCAAGGACAGCGCCCAGACCCAAAGTTCAAGACTGGCAACCGACAAAACAAAACAAAACAAAAAATCAGTTGCAAAAGCTGCAGCAGTGGCTCACACCTGTAATCCTAGCTACTCAGGAGGCTAAGAGCTGAGGAGCGGTTCAAAGCCAGGCAGTCAGGAAAAGTCCATGAGATTCTATCTCCCATCATCCATCACTAAGCTACAAGTGGAGCTGAGTGAGGCCCAAGTGGTAGAGCAGCAGCTTTGAGATACAGTGCGCAGGCCCCAAGTTCAAGCTCTATGACCAGTAAAAAATAAAAAAGAACTTAAAAAAAGATGCAAAGTACAGGTAGGAATATCCCTCAGCTGAAATGCTAGGGCCAGAATTATTTCAACCCTTCAGGGTTTCTTCCCATTTCCTAACATTGGCCTGTGTCAACACAGGCCACTTTAGGGGTGGATTTGAAGTCAAAACAAGCAATTTGGTTGTGTTTCGTACACCCCACAGACAACGACCAACTCAACTACCCAAAGTTTCCAACAGGTTGGAACATTCACTAGTTTGAAATACTAATGATAAATCTTTGAGCTCACAATATGTTTAGATGCTGAAATGTTTCAAGAGATAGAGGACTCCAAGATATGGAAAACAACCCAGATGCCCCACTACGGGTGAATGGATCCAAAAACTGTGGTACCTGTGGATTACTAGGCAGCCTTTAGAAAAGGACAAAATAAAGGCATCATGGGGAAATGGATGGAACTAGAGCAAATCATTTTGAGTGAGGAAAGCCAAGACCATAGAGACAAATGGCACACGGTCTCCTTGATGTATGGATGTTAAATCCAAAATGCAAGGAGATATGACAAAGTAAACAGGACTCAAGAAACAATGGCTATCTACTTAATTCGTCATATAATTTCCAAGTGACTATATGTTCTTGACCTCATATATGGTATATGTATGTGCGCATCTGAGGGAAGCTAGGAGGAAGGCACTGAATCAGAGGGAAACGGGAAAAAAATACAACAGAGGGACCATCATCAGCTGCACTGGACAGTGATGAAAATGAACTAAGCAACTCAGGGGCAGCGATGGGAAGGATTGGGAAGGAGAGGGAAGGAGGGAACCGCTGACACTAAGCAAAAGAAATGTACAGATCACCCAACATGGAAGAAATAGTTGTACTGTCAACGCTTGGAGAACGCACCAACATTATAGACCATGATAATGACAACGTGCCTTGTTAAAATGTGTTTGTGACTTTAAGTATCACTACCCCACACTACTGTGAAATCTGAGGTTTAATCATTTAATCTCAATTTAAAAATTTATTTTAAAAAATAAATAAATAAATAAATAATAAATTGTGGCTATTAAACTCTCCATTTTTTTTTTTCCTCTATTTTTGCAGTGCTGGGAATCTACCCCAGGAGCGTGTGCATGCTAAGCAAGCAATCTATCTCTAGTGACGTTCCCCCAAACTTTCCCGTGTATTGGGTGCTACTGGGGTTTGAACTCAGGGTTCCTTACTAGCTAAGCAGGTGCTCTACCCCACACTGCCAGCCTCTCTGGAACGTTAGAGAACGTCAAGTTACACCTCTGTTCCCTGAGAGCCGTACTGGAGGAACGCAACGTACTTTGGAAGAAATCTTTGAGCTCTGACTTGTCCACCTCATGGGGCAGGTTGCCAATGAAGAGTTGGTGACTGTCGGGGTGTCGCACAATCCTTCGGGGCTCCACATCGCCTTGCTCACCGGCCTCTCGGACTGAAGAAAAGATGAAGTCAAGAGATGGGAGCACACTCTTTTTTCAGGAACATTCTCTCCTATAAAGGCTTTTCCCGCTGCCCTGACAATGGGGCAATCCCATCTTGACCCTGGAGTTAAACAGCACCCCCCCCACACACACACACCAATCACCCTAAAAACAAGTCCCAGCTCTTACTTGGCCGAGGACCCCTGTGGGGAGGGATATTTATTCGTTGTTCTCGAACTCTCTGATCCCTCTGAGGTCTCTGTGGTGGAATTTGAGATTCGGGCTTAGATTCTGGACGGGGCTAAAAAACAAAAACAATTAACTTTTGGGTTGGAGGGGAAGTAACTTCATCTCTCTTGTGAAGTTTCTTAATAATAAATGTGACACTAGAAAGGGCAATTTGAATCACAAAGGTAATCATTTTAAAGACACCTTTGCCTGCTTGCCCCTCTTCCCTATATAATGTATTACACTTCCTGACCTCAACCCCCCCCCCCCCCGGGCCTTGGCCACCCCTCCCCACCAGGTGCCTTACCTGTGAGGCTGGGACTTTGACGACATGGGGTGGAATGCCAGTAACCGGAACGGCTCCACTGGGAGGGAGGTTCTTACTGGTCACAGAAGCCCAAGAAAATGTCTGAGGGGAAACGTTACATGCTTACATACATCAGAGCAGTATACATCACTGTAACTAGCAGCGGAGGGTGCTGCCCCTGCGCTTTTTTTTGTTGGTGGTGGTCATGGAGCTTTTACTCAGGACCTGGACCCTACCCCTAAGCTCTTCCGCTTAAGGCTAGACTCTACCACTTTTGAGCCACAGCTCCACTTCCGATTTCAGAGTAGTTAATTGGATGTTAAGAGTCTCATGGACTTTCCAGCCTTGGCTGGCTTCCAACCATGATCCTCAAAATTCTGCTTTCTGAGTAGTCAGGATTACAGGCATGAGCCCCTGGTGCCTGGCCTTGATAAATTTCCATGCATGCAAACAAATTGCTTGACCATATTCCCTCCCTCATTGTCTTTATCCGCCCTTCCGCTTCGTACCTCACCGCTAAGGCCTTATTTGACTTTCTTGTCATTCTGTACAGTGTGCATTAATTGACCCAAGAAACAGGTTTCTCCGTGGTATTTTCAGACATAGCTATTTTGCTTTTTCTTTTCCTGAAAGACTCCCTTCATTTCCTGTATATAATAGCTGCATCAGCTCTCATATACAGGGGGGGAGTTTATAAATAAAAAGTCTTTCTCACCTACTCACAAATCTGACTGAAATTCTTTGGGCTGGCTAGACCTGGGGCACATGCCTATAAGCTAGCACACAGGAGGTGAAGACAGGACAGACAGGACAGTCACTGGTCAAGGACAGCTGGGACTATAGCATGACCCTGTCTTTATAATACAACAACAACACAAGAAGTGAAGGTACTGCTTAAGTGGTAGAGCACTAGCCTTGAGGAAAAAAACAGCCCAGGCCCTGAGATCAAATCCCAGGGTGGGCACAAAAAACACAAACAATAAATCCTGGAGAAAAATATCTATTATCTGCCAAATATAGAAGGTCACAGCAGTCAATTTCAGTCAATTTCAGCCTTATGAATCAAAATTATCTGTAAGCTCTTCCTACTATGGTAGAAGCGTGCAGTTGCTTTAGTAGTATCTTCAATACTTTTCAACCTATGTGAAAATCACAGGACTTGTTATTCCACCAAGTAATCTTCTCTGTCCATCTCCACTGCTAAGAATCTAATCCAAGTCATCACCGTCTCCTGGTTGGGCTAGCTCACTTAACTGCCCTCCTTCCTCACCCAATCACCTACTTTCTTACCTGTTTAACTGGCTGCCAGACAGCAAGAACCCACACAAATATTGCCTACATTAACAATAATTGAAGAAATGACATCATTAAAAACCACCCTGACCTGACCCAATAGCCAGGAGGCCGAGGTAGCTCATGGCCTGTAATCCTAGCTTCTCAGAGGATCTGAGGGATGGCTGTTTGAAGCAGCCCCAGCAGGAAAGTCCTTGGAACTCTTTATCTTCAAGTAAGCATATAAAAAGCCAAAAGTGGAGCTGCAGCTCTAGCCTTGGCAAAAAAAAAAAAAGCTCAAGGACAGCAGCCAGGACCTGAGTTCAAGCCTCAGGACTGGCACAAAAGGAAAAACAAAAAAAAATTCGACCCTATAAAGCACTAAATAAACTGTTCTCAGAACATCAACTTATACTGTTGTGACCTCAAGTACAATACTCTCCCCCATAGGACCTAACAAGTCAAAGTTGTTTTGTTTTGTTTTGTTTTGGGGGGGGGGGGGGGGTCTGGTCGTGGGGCCTGAACTCTGGGCCTGGGCGCTGTCCCTCAGCTCTTCAGCTCAAGGCTAGCGCTCTACCACTTGAGCCACAGTGCCACTTCTGGCTTTTTTTTTCTTTTTGCTTATGTGGTGCTGAGGAATCGAACCCAGGGCCTCATGCTTGCAAGGCAAGCGCTCTACCACTGAGCCACCTTCTCAGCCCAAGTCCAACTTTTGAAAACAAGTTTCTTAATTAGAAAAGCAATTGCATTTGAGTTGTTTGTCTATGTTAGTAAAGATTTCCTCAACTGGCTTTTATTGTATTCACTTAAAACTTAGGCAGTAACAATTTACAATGTAACAGATGAAAATATCAGGGCTGGGAGTGTGGCTTAGTGGGTACAGTGCTAGCCTAACATGCATGAAACCCTGGGTTCGATTCCTCAGTAACACCTAAACAGAAAAAGCCAGAGAAGTGGCTATGGTTCAAGTTGGTAGAGTGCTACCCTTAAGCAAAAGCAGCTTAGGGACAGTGCCTAGGTCCCAAGTTCAAGCCCCAGGACTGGCAAAAAAAAGAAAAAAAAAAACCACTTACAACTTAAGTAGTAACAATTTACAACCTAAGATATGAAAATGTCAAGGCTGGGCATATAGTTTAGTGGTAAGAGTGCTTGCCTAGCATGCACAAAGCTCTGGGTTTGATTCCCTATTAGCACATAAACAGAAAAAGCCAGAAGTGGTGCTGTGGCTTAAGTGGTAGAGTGCTAGCCTTGAGCAAAAAGAAGCCCATGGACAGTACCCAGGCCCTGAGTTTAAGTCCAAGAATTAGCATGTGCTCATGCACACGCACACAAAAGATGAAAATGTCAAGTGGACTGGAAATAAAAATGGCACTTGGAATTTCTAAGAAGCATTTAAATTGCCCTCTAGAAGGAGTCTCAGGGCATTACTGTGGATGATACCAAGAAATATGCATCAGATCTCTTGTGATCTGAAACACAACTCAATGTGTAAGAAAATTTCCTGGAACCACCAATACAAAATACATCTAAGAAAAGTCATCTAAGCCATTGTTAGAGAGATTTTTTTTTCCAAAAATAAACTATGGGGAGAGGGAGGGGACTGTAGTTGCGGAGATGGGAGGGAAGGGATGGCAGGGGAAAAACAAAGGAAGCAACAGTGCTTGATAAGAAATGTACTCATTACTTTGCTCATGTGATTGTAACCCCTCTGTATAGTATTTTCACAATAAAAAACATATTTAAAAAAAATAAAATAAAAATAAATAAACTACAGAGGCTAGGGATGTAGCTCAGTGGTAGAGTGCTTGCCTGGCATGCATAAGGCTTGGGGTTCAATTCCCAGCAGTACAACAGAATGAATAAACAAATTGCCCCAACTGTAGTGAGAGCCGTACCCTCAGGTCTTCCTGGGCTGTCTGCACAGCATCCGCAGGGGCGGGAGAGGAACTTGGCCGCGCAGCCTCAGCAGCAGTTTCTTCCAATACCGGCTCAGCCTTTTCCTCCTGAATTTCAGACACTGGTTCTTGCTCTGGTTCTGGTTCGGGGTCAGGCTCAGGCTCAGCAACAGGCTCCTCTATATGTTCTTCCAAGTCATTGCTTTTGTGGAAAAATGAGAAATATTATCCTGCCTCCCTTGTCTCAGTAAACTAGAAATTCTCCACCATTTATTCACTCTCCAAAACTAGCTCCCAGGACTAGCGTATAGCTCAGAGGACGAGTTCAAGCTCAGCCAGGCCCTGGGCTGGACCAAGAAAAAAATATTTACCTTTATCCAAATGAGATCTAAGAGAAAAATTACATGAGCTTAAAAGATATAATTTGAAATAAAACACATAATTAACAAGCCTTAAAGGAAGTAAGGTAATGAGCTAAATTCCAATAAGCAACTGAGACAAATCAAAACATATCTACAACTGTGTCTCAGTTTCATTATAACTTACTTACCAATGTAGTACAATCCAGATCTCCTATCTAGTATGCTGGGGACACGGAAAGGAAGTTGCTATCCTCAACAGGCATAAATCTTTTAGCAAGATGGATGAAAACTTGTGGCACATCACTGAATATTATAGTTAATATTACAGTACTACCATACTTAAAAAGTTAGGAGATGGGCTGGAAAGGTGGTTCAGTGGTAGAGCGCTTGCCTTGCATGCCTGAGGACGTGGGTTCGATTCCCCAGCACCACATAAGCAAAAAGAAAAAAGCCGGAAGTGGCGCTATGGCTCAAATGGTAGAGCACTAGCCTTGAGCTGAAGTTCAAGCCCCACGACTGGACCAAAAAAAAAAAAAAAAAAAAAAAAGTTTGGAGATGGCTTCTAACATGGAAAAGGCTCTATTAAAAAAATAATAATTGCTGGGCGCCGGTGGCACATGCCTGTAATCCTAGCTACTCAGGAGGCTGAGATCTGAGGATCACAGTTCAAATCAAGCCCAGGCAGGAAGTCCATGAGACTCTTATCTCCAATAAACCACTAAAAAACCAGACGTGGCGCTGTAGCTCAAGCAGTAGAGCGCTAGCCTTTAGCTGAAGAGCTGAGGGACAGTGCCCATGCCCAGAGTTCAGGCCCCACAACTGACAAAAAAAAAAAAAAAATCAAAAGCCAAGCACTGGTGGCTCACACCTGTAATCCTAGCTACTAAGGAGGCTGAGATCTGAGGATCACAGTTCAAAGCCAGCCCAGGCAGAAAAAGCCGTGAGCCTCTTATAATCCACCAGGAAACCTGAAGTGGCGCTGTGGCTCAAGTGAGCTGAAGAGCTGAGGGACAGCATTCAGGCCCAGAGTTCAACTCCTATGACCAACAACAACAACTGCTGGGCATCAATGGCTCATCCAATAGCCCTCACTACTTGAGTATGAGACCTAGGATTATATTTAGAAGCCAGCCTAAAGCAGAAAAGCCTCTAAGACTGGTCCCTAATTAGCTAGCAAAACGCTGGGCTAGCGGCATGTCTCAAGAGGACCAGCCTAGGACCAGCCTAGCAAATCCAAGCACCAGACCAAAAATAAATAAAAGTGTTAAATGTCCACATAAATCACAAGGAATATAATTGAGACTAGACAATTTTCCTCCTGAAATTCAAACTCATTAGATTATAATCCTCACTGCTAACCAATGACACAAGTGCACTATGATGTGGGTTCACCATTGCCATGCATGCATAAGTACCCAAGTGCAGGGGATCACGGGATAGCAATCAACATCACTAGTCCTCCAACTACAAGGAAAGAAAAAAGCCTAAAATAGCAACGCCACATCACTGCAGGTGAGGCTGGTCTCTCAGAGCTTCCTGCCATGGCCTCCCTGGCTCTGGGATTACACGTGCAGCAGCGCTATGCTCAGCCCACGAAATCCTCAACTCCAACTTGGCTCACAGGCTTGAGTGTCTCCGACCACTAATTACTAAGTGAGCACGTGGCCTCGGCATTGAGGAACACATCCTCAGTGGCAGGTGAAAGCAGGAGGATCCAGAGTTTGAGTCCAGCCTGGGCCACACAGCAACAGATCTCAAAAAGACTGAAAGAGTCAAAAGGCAAGTGCTTCTTTTTAAACAGGTTTCAGCGCGCACTGCTAATAAGCAAGTTATGTTTTTATGGATATTTAGTCAGATATATCAACAATGAAACCTTTCTCCTAGAACGTCATCACTGTTTTCAAAGATTACTTTTCTGATGTCTGTTCTCTGCTGGAGAACAACAGAAAAGAAAAAAACCTAAGAAGCACAGCTCTAATCGCACTCCTGAACAGATGCACAAAGAATGTTCCTTACTTGACTGCCTGTTCATAGAAAGCTCCAGAATCATCAGGAACAACTTCTGGTGTCTGCTGTCTTTCTTCAGGTTCTTCTACTTCTTCCTCAGATTCTAAATGAGGAAAAAGATTCAAAATAAGTTTTGTTTATTGAATTCACGAATACCTTTAAGTTGTCCACTATGGTCAAAAGGAAGGTGAAATCACACAGGTGTGTACACACACACATGCACACACACACACACACACACACACACACACCCTGGAAGCATGAGAACTGGTACACAGACACACAGACACGCACACAGACACACAGACACACACACACACACACACACACACACACACACACACACACACACACACACACACACACACACACACACACACCCCTGGAAGCATGAGAACTGGTAACATCATGGCACAGACGTTAATAGAGTTTACGTTTTGATTAAGAATCTGGAATCAATATTGTATTCTCCACCTAGACACCAGTGGCTCACACCTGTAATCCCAGCTACTCAGGAGGCTGAGATCTGAGGATAGCGGTTCAAAGTCAGCCCGAGGAAGGAAGTCTGTGAGACTGTTAACTTCAATTAACCACCTGAAAACCCTAAGTGGAACTGTGGCTCAAAGTGGTAGCTTTGAGCGACTGAGAAACAACCAGCACCCAGGCCCTGAGTTCAAGACCCACGATGAACAAGTAACCTAATGCAAGTCTTAGAACCTTGGGTAAACAACGCAAATCTGTGCCCTAACCTACTTCGTGGGAGAACTGCAACTTACAGGATGAGCCCGCCCAGGGTGTGCGGGACATAGAAACAAACACAAAGCACTTGGGTGGGCCATGCAGGAATCACTCAAGTACCACCACCATGCGCCATCCCCATGGGTGTTTTTCTGTACGTTCCACCTTAGCCTTCTATCTTTTCTCTACTACATTTCAAGAACATCTAGATAGTACACAGCTTTAGAAAACTGGTTTTTTTAAAATTATTATTACTTTACTATTACCAGCCACTGTGTGAGACTGGTAAGGGGTCTTCCCATGGCAAGTACCATACATCCGTTAACACAGCTCCCCGTGCTAACGCCACCTACAGGCCGTCTGCATGATGGCACCCACTGTGGCTATAATAATCGCCACTTCTGGCCCAACCCAGGAGGGCCAAGGGTCACCCAACACCCATGGAGTGAGATGACCTATGAACTGTAACTAAGGCGATATTTGAAAAGCCTCATGTCCTGAACAAACATTAGCTACCAATAAAGAACAGAGGGTATAATTAAAAATGTGCCTGTGGACTGGGCAGCATGGCTCCAATGGTACAGTGCCCACCTACCAAGCGCCAGACCCAGATTCAAATCCCAATACTGAAACATAGTCACGAAAGCCCTATTCTCTCAAGGTCTGCCTGGATGTCAGTAAGGAAAGAGTCTAAGTAAACAACATATGATGTTATACTCACCTTCCTGAGGCTCAGTAACAAAGCCACCGAAGACCTCATCTTGGTATCTGAAGATATCATTATGAACATAGAATTTATTTGCAACAGAGCCCTGCAATACCAACAAGAGGTTTTTTGTTACTTATCGGACGGGCTTGTAAGAAGCCTGTGGTTGGGGCTGGGAATGTGGCTTAGTGGTAGAGAGCTTGCCTAGCGTGCATGAAACCACAAGTTTGATTCCTCAGTACCACCTTGACAGAAAAGGCCAGAAGTGGTGCTGTGACTCTAGCAGCAGCAGCAGAAGCAGCTCAGGGACAGTGCCCAGGCCTTGAATTCAAGCTCTAGGACTTGCAAAAAAAAAAAAAAAAGCCAATGGTACTGCAGCAGTAGTTCAATTCTGGCAGCCTGCCCCTTCCCCCCATAGACTCGTGACAATGTGTGGGGACATGGGGCTGGGAAGGTGGCTCAGTGGTAGAGCGCTTGCCTTGCATGCCTGAGGCCCTGGGTTCGATTCCTCAGCACCACATAAGCAAAGAGAAAAAAGCCGGAAGTGGCACTGTGGCTCCAGTGGTAGAGCGCTAGCCTTGAGCTGAAGAGCTGAGGGACAGCACCCAGGCCCAGAGTTCAGGCCCCACTACCGGACCCAAAAAAAAAAAAAATGTGCGGGGACATCACAGCCTTCATGACTGGGAAGGGATAGGACACTACTGAGTAGAGAATAAGAGATGCTGCCAAAGCTCATGAGGGCCCCAAAACAAAAACAAAGAGTGACTCCATCCACCACACCATCAGATCACAATGATGTTCAAAACACGGACCCTTACCACCACCGACAGCCAAAGACTGATAAAACTTCAAAGTGTGTCAGATGACAGAAGTCAAATCATTAGGCAATCACATCCCCAATTTCCACACAGGATTGCTATTCCTAGGGTCTTCCTTGGGAAGATCCAAATAGTCTTGGCCAGTATGACTGAGATCGCAAGCTCACCCATGTCCAACCTAACAATTCCATGTTCTAGTGACTCAGATTCTCTTTTTTGCTGGTGGTTGTGGGACTTGAACTCAGGATCTGGACCTTATCCCTGAGCTTCTTTTGCTAAAGGCTAGCACTCTACCACTTGAGCCATAGTGCTACTTCCAGCTTTTTCCGTTTATCTGGTACTAAGGAATCAACCCCAGGATTTTATGCATGCTAGGCAAGCACTCTACCACTAAGTCACCTTCACATCCCCTGGTGACTTAAGTCTCTAAGGCCACTGTCTCATGAGTAAGGGAAGGGCTGTTCACACATAACCCCAGTGCTGATCTGGGCGTTGAGATGACTTACATAACCTTACTGTTGAACTCTGGTAAAGTTCCACGCTCCTCTATGAGGAGTGAGCTATAATTAAATCTTTAATTGACAACACTACTCCACATGATTCTCTGTGTATTTACAATCTTCTGCACAGTGAGCAGGCCATCAAGTCTGTACACATAATTTTCTTATCTCACCATGTAGTCCCAGGCTAGCCTCGAGCTCCTGAGCCTCCCTGTGCTTCTCAAGTGCTGACATTACAGATGTCTTTATACTTTACTATGAGCCTTCCTTTCAAAATCCTGACTACAGGGACTGCTTTTGGGAGGCTGATGCAAGTTAAAGGCTACATAGGGAGACTGTCTCGCTCATGCAAGCAAGCACAGAAATTACTACAGTAACTTCAAAGAGTCAATTTGCTATCAAATATAGAAAATTGGCTGGACACCAGTGGCTCACGCCTGTAATCCTAGCTACTCAAGAGGCTGAGATCTAAGGACCAGTGTTTAAAGACAGCCTAGGCAGAAAGGTACCCATGAGAATTTTTTTTTTGGGGGGTCCGGTTGTGGGGCCTGAACTCTGGGCCTGGGCGCTGTCCCTCAGCTCTTCAGCTCAAGGCTAGCGCTCTACCACTTGAGCCACAGCGCCACTTCCCACTTTTTTTTTCTTTTTGCTTATGTGGTGCTGAGGAATCGAACCCAGGGCCTCAGGCATGCAAGGCAAGCACTCTACCACTGAGCCACCTTCTCAGCCCATCCCATGAAAATCTTATCTCCAATTAATGACTCAAAATCTAGAAGCGGAGTGGTGGCTCAAAATAATAAAGTGCTAGCCTTGAGCAAAAAGAGCTCAGAGACAGCACCCAGGTCCTGAGAAGTACAAACCTCATGGGGGGGGGGGGGGGGGGGGGGCAGAGAATGGGATGGGACAGAAAATTGTTTTTTAATATTAATGCAAGATAGACTGTTTTGTAGCAAGGGAACTTCTTTGTACAACTACTTAAAGATAATAATTTTTTTAATGTTTAAAAGAAAAAAGAAAAGGGCTGGGAAGGTGGCTCAGTGGTAGAGCACTTGCCTCAGCACCACATAAGCAGAAAAGGTTGGAAGTGGTGCTGTGGCTCCAGTGGTAGAGCACTAGCCTTGAGCTGAAGAGCTGAGGGACAGCGCCCAGGCCCAGAGTTCAGGCCCCACAAAAAAAAAAAACGAAAAAAGAAAAATACTCACTACATGACTTACATAATTGTGAACCCTCTGTATATCACCTTTATAATAACAATAAAAACATTTTTAATTAAAAAAAAAAAAAGATTAATGCTAGAGGTGGGCGCCAGTGGCTCACGCCTGCCGTCCTAGCTACTCAGGAGGCTGAGATCTGAGGATCACGGTTCAAAGCCAGCCAGGGCAGCAAAGTCCGTGAGACTCTTATCTCCAATGAACCACCAGAAAACCGGAAGTGGCAGGGGGTAGAGTGCTTGCCTTGAAGAGCCCAGGAACAGCACCCAGGCCCAGAGCTCAGAACAGCACCAGGCCCAACCAACCAAAAAAAGAAAAAAAAAAGAAAAAAAAGATTAATGCCAGAGAAAAATCATTATTCAGTCAAGTTTTTTTATGAGCGACTTCTAAATACTTAGACAGGTTTTCTGACCCTGTTCAGTCTGAACCCGAGATAAATGCAATCATCACTCATCATTAATCTATGACTTTTTTCTTCTGTTGGTCGTGGGGCTTGAACTCTGGGTTTGAGTGCTGTCCTCAGTTCTTCAACTCAAGGCTGGCACTCTACCACTTGAGCCACAGCACCACTTCCGGTTTTACTAGAGATAAGAGTTTCACGGAGTTTCCTGCCCCGGCTGGCTTTGAACCACGATCCTCAGGTATCAGCTTCCTGAGTAGCTAGGATTACAGGCGTGAGCCACCAGCCCCCGGCCTATGACTTTTTCAAAAGCCTAATTACAAAGAATCACTTGTGAGCTGGGCCCTGGTGGCTCACACCTGTAATCCTAACTACTCATGAGGCCGAGATCAGAGAATCACGGATCAAAGTCAACTCAAGCAGTAAAGTCTATGAGACACTTGTTTCCAATTAATCACCAAAAAGCCAGAAATGAAGGTTTGGCTCAAGTGGCAGAAGTACATCCTTGAACAAAAATTGTAAAGAACAAAGCCCAGACCCTGAGTTCAAGACCCAGTACTGCTCCTGCTTAAAAAAAAAAAAAAAACACTTGCTAGGTACACAAAATGGACAGTGCGCAGGCCCTGAGTTCAAGCCCCAGAAATAGCACAAGCATGCGCACACAAAAAGAATCACCAGGGCTGGGATAGTGGCTCAGTGGTAGAGCGCCTGCCTTGTATGCATGAGGCCCTGGGTTCGATTCCTCAGCACCACATAAGCAAAAAGAAAAAAGCCGGAAGTGGCGCTGTGGCTCAAGTGGTAGAGCGCTAGCCTTGAGCTGAAGAGCTGAGGGACAGCGCCCAGGCCCAGAGTTCAGGCCCCACAACCGGACCAAAAACAAACAACAACAACAAAAAAAGAATCACCAATGAATGCTAAAGCCAGTGTACAAAACTTTGATGAAAAAGAGACCAGGTGAAGTATCAAAGAATTGGTCATAATCTGTAAGTTGGAATAGGAAAATATATACTTGACAGTGGCAAGACCTAGCAAAAGTACTCATAAAGTTAACACAAGCAGGACTGAACATCAGATGGCTCCTTAAGCAATTACATCTGAAGTGTGTACAAAATCACGTGACTGTGCCCAGACAGTGCCAGGCCCTGGGTTCCGGCTTCAGCATTTGACAGTGCTGAACAGAGGGATAATCGTGGGCAAGTGCTGATCACGAGTGCTTCTAAGCAAGAAATTCACAGGAATCAGTTTGAAGGCTAATTTCCATTGCCTCTGAGCTACCTCCCATTACTGGAGCAAGTTCCACGTACCTCGGGAGCCAGGACGAAGGTCTGCATGAATCTCCGCAGAGCCTGGTTGTTGTTGGATAGCAGCCCCATCACCTGGACCACAACACCGTCATTAAGAGTAGCGTGAGCATCCACATGACGGATCTTGGTATGGCAGTTGGTGAAGTTTTGCGACATCACTTTCCTATGAATTTCCTAAGGAAGAGGGCAAAAGTCAGTGCCTACCAGGGGACAAAGTAGCCAGATTCTGGCAGGCCTCTCTGCCCTGCAGCCACCACACCTGTACCTGTACCTGTACCTGCACCTGTACCTGCACCTGCACCTGCACTTGCACACTATCAGGGTACAGTTGGGGGTGGGGGACTGTGGAGATGGGGAGGTGGCACTCCTTTTTTTTTTGGTCGGTCATGGGGCCTGAACTGATGGCCTGGGTGCTATCCCCCTCAGCTCTTCAGCTCAAGGCTAGTGCTCTACCACTTGAGCTATAGCTCCACTTCTGGCTTTTTCTGATCATATAGTACTGAGGAATTGAACCCAGGGCCTCATGCATGCAAGGCAAGTGCTCTACCACTGAGCCACCTTCCCAGCCTGTAATGTAACCCCTGGGCTACATTTCTCAATACAAGGTCCTATAATGGACATTAAATATACTACAGGATAAAAATCTATTATTTACAGCCAAAGACTTCCATAATAAAATGGTACAATTACTACTCCAATAAAAGATAATGCCTTAGCCAGCTGAGGGTGGCTCACACTTGTAATCCTCTCAGGAGGCTGAGATTTAAGGATCAAGGTTCAAGCCAGCCTGGGCAGAAAACTCCATGAGACTCTTAACTCCACTCCATGAGACTCTTAACTCCAATTAACCCCCCCCTCCCCCCCCCCCCCCCACACACGCAGAACTCTGGTTCATCAAGTAGTATGCTAGCCTTGAGTTTGTAAAAGCTCAGGGACAGCACCCAGGCCATGAGTTCAAGCCTAAGGACCAGCACCAAAAAACAATAATGCCTTAAAATGTATACCACATCCCACCCAACAAACCAAAAATTCCCAATGCACAACAGATAGAAAATGTGTTTAAGTTATATTAAGTTACACTATTTTACTTATCTATGCATACGTATCTATACATACACACACAAACACACACATGCACACACATTATTCCTCATCACCTTTAGAATAAAGGTCCTTCTGAAAAGTTGAGAAAAGATCCCCATGCTATATAAAATCAACTAACTTCTGGCATACAAAAAAACTTGCAGAATATATCATACCAATGAACACAAGTGACATTACATAAGCATGTCAACAGTTAATAATCAAAGGTAATTTACTAACCATGTAGTAACTAACTCCCTAAACTGCCCATTGAAAAATTCCACCTTTGGGTACTAGCCAGTCTAGGAGCATGTATATGACTCAAGTTTCTAACCATTTTTTTTTCTTGTTGTTGTTGGATTTTTGCCCCATCCTGAGGCCTGAATTCTGGGCCTGTGTGTTGTCCCGGAGCTTTTGTGCTCAAGGCTGTCACTCTACCACTGGAGCCACAGCGCCACTTCCAGTTTGTGAGTGAGTAATTGGAGGCAAGAGTCTCACGGGGACTTTTCTGCTTGGACTGGCTTTGAACCATGATCCTCAGATCTTAGCCTCCTGTAGGTAGGATGACAGGTAGGAGCCACTGGCGCCTGGCATCTTCTAGCAGTTTCAAGGTTCCCATTACAAGTTGGTGTGCTTACTTTCTGTCCATAGACCGCATCTGCTGGCTTGCCATTTGAATCCAGCCCCCCATGGACATAGGATGAGTTCTTTCCATAGAACCTGCACAAGAAGAAGATCATTTACTTGGCATCTGCACGTCATCTAAGGTCAAGCATTTGTCTCCCATACCTGGGAGCTACTCACTTCACAGGTACTCAGGAAGACACCCTTGTGTCCACCTGTCATTTGCTCAACACCTCTGTCATTTGCTCAACCCATACTGAACATACATGAGGCTGGTCCAGGAGTCAGGGTGAGATGGTTATGATCTTTCATTATAGATAGTTCCTATTAAACTATGGAACTCATGCAAGCAGGGATTGTCTGATGGGTTTAAAAAAAAAACACACACACACACACAAGGGCTTGAAACTTGGTCAAAACTTTGTGTTCTCACTCAGCTTTCTTGCTCACAGATGGTGCTCTATCACATGAGCCACGCTCCCAGTCCATATTTTGCTGGCTGAATGAAGATTTCTCCAGATTTCTGTGCCTCAGGATCCCAATCTTGGTCTCCGGAGTAGCTAGGATTACCGGGGTGAGCCACTACTGCCTGGCTTGGTAGGAGCTTTTAACCATTTCTGCTAATACAGTGAGTATTTTAGAGTACAATTCCCTAAACCTTCCTCATCTTATCTTCCAAGTCAATTTACATGAAAAATTATAGTATTGGGGGAAGGTGGGGGGACTGGGAATGTGGCTTAGTTGCAGAGCCCTGGGTTCAATGCCTCAGTACCACATGTGCAGAAAAAGCCGGAAGTGGCACTGTGGCTCAAGTGACACAGTGCTAGCCTTGAGCACAGAGAGACTCAGGGACAGTGCTCAGGCCCTGAACTCAAGCCCCAGGACTGGCAATAAATAAATAAATAAATATTAAAAGAAAATATAGTACAAGGGCTGGGAATTTGGAACAGTGTTTGCCTACCATGCATGAAGCAAAAAAAGCACAAGTGGCATTGTGGATCACGTGGTAGAGTACTAGCCTTAAGCAAAAGAAGCTCAGTGCCCAGGCTCAGAGTTCAAGCCCTAAGACTGGCAAAAAAAAAAAGTGTACATTTCTTTTGCCAGGTGCCAGTGGCTCACACCTATAATCCTAGACACTTAAAGAGGCTGAGATTTGAGGCTCATAGTTCAAAGCCAGCCCAGGCAGAAAAATCCATGAGACTCTTATCTCCAATTAACCACCAGAAAACTGAAAGTGGCTCTGTGGCTCAAGTGGTAAAGCGCTCACCTTGAGCTTTTTAAAAAGCTCAGGGACAGCACCCAAGCCCAGAGTTTAAGCCCCACAACCAAAGGGGAGGGGGAAGGAATCAAATTTCTAGACTTCTACCACTTAATAGAAATATAATTGCCAGCAAACTTCAGAGGCATGTAATATACAACATGCAAGCTAATTAAAAATATTGTTAGCTGCTGGTGGCTCACACCTATAATCCAAGCTACTCAGGAGGATGAGATCTGGGGATCATGGTTCAAAGTCAGCCCGGGCAGAAAAAATCTGCAATTAACTAGAAAAAATCTGGAAACAGGGCTAGAAATGTGGCTTTGCATGCTTGCCTAGCATGCATGAAGCCCTGGTTGGATTCCTCAGTACCACATACACAGAAAAAGCTGGAAGTGGCACTGTGGCTCAAGTGGTAGAGTGTTAGCCTTAAGCAAAGAAGCTCAGGGACAGTGCCCAGGTACTGAGTTCAAGCCCAGGACTGGCAAAAAAAAAGAAATTCTGGAAACAGGTGTGGCTCAAGTGGTCAGGTACCAGCGGGGAAGGAAAAAGCTGTAAAGGAAAAAGGGTAAGAGCAAGTCCCTGAGTTCAAGCCCCAAGACAAGCACAAAAAGAAAAAAACAAGTGCTTCAGTCTAGCATATTACTCTTTTTGAACTTACAGGAAATTATTAACCTGTCTACATCAATAGGTTTATATGATATAACATTATTTGTGAAAGTAAGTATGATAAGCAACCTCCATGATTAGGGAACTGATTAATATATCAATAAAATAAAAATGTTGTGGACACTAAAATTAACATAATATATATGAATTACCTTGAAAGATAACCTCAGATTAACAAGTTTAAAAAAAGAAAAGGGCTGGGAAGGTGGCTCAGTGGTAGAGTGCTTGCCTTGCATGCATGAGGCTCTGGGTTCAATTCCTCAGCACCACAGAAGCAAAAAAAAAGAAAAAGAAAGCTGGGCTCCGGTGGCTCATACCTGTGCTCAGAGACAGTGCCCAGGCCCAGAGTTCAAGCCCCATGACTGACCAAAAAAAAAGAAAGAAAAGCAGGCAGCTAGGCATTAGTTGCTCATGTCTCTAATTGCAGCTACTCAGGAAGCTAAGATCTGAGCATCTCAGTTCCCAGCCTGCCCTGTGTAGACAAGTTTGAGGAACTTTTATTTCCAATTAACCAGCAACACACCAGAAGCAGAGTCAAGTGCTGATGGTTCACACATGTAATCCTAGCTACTCAGGAGGCTGAGATCTCTGTTCAAAGCTCGTCTGGGCAGGAAAGCCTATGAAACTCTTATCTCCAATTCACGAGCAAAAAGCTCAAAGTGGTGTTGTAGTAGAGCACTTGTCTTGAACTGGAGAGCTCAGGGGCAGTACCCAGGCCCAGAGTTCAAGCCGCCGACGGACAAAAAAAAAAATTATTATTATAGTATTATCAGCTTTTTCTTTGATAGTGAAAGCATAATCCTAGGGCATCTTATGCTAGGCAAGCATTCCATTCCTAGTCTTTCACAATTTGTTTTTGTTTTTTTGTCAGTCATGGGGCTTGAACTCTGGGGCTGGGCACTGTCTATAAGCTCTTCAGCTCTAGGTAAACACTCTACCACTTGGGCCACAGTGCCACTTCTGGTTTTCTGGTGGTTATTTTGTTATTCTGGTTTGTTGGAGATCAGAGTCTCACAGACTTTCCTGCCCGGGCCGGCTTTGAACCATGATCCTCAGATCTCAGCCTCCTAAGTGGCTAGGAATACAGTCATGAGCTACTGGTGCCCAGCTCACAATTTGTTTTCTACTAATTTTTCTTTGCTTTCTAGGAGGAACTAGGGATTGAACTTCATGCCTCACAGTTGCCAATGCTTTACACCATTTGATCCACGCCCCCAGCCCTGGTTTGTTCTGTTTTAACTTTTCACAAGTACACATCATTTCTGCTAAGATACTCCAATTTTTAAAATGCATCAAGACAAAAGCCTATTGTTACAGGAAAACTTATCAATCTTCAATAAATTCTTACCAAATAATTCATGATTATACTTTCACAGGTCCAGACATTGTTTTTCTGATGTCAAGTTTAGGTAACATCCTAGTGCATCCTATTGGTCTACAACACATATACATATTTTTCAATCTCTTAGCTTTGTGGCACACATCTGTAATCCCAGCAGCCAGAAGCTAAGGGAGGAAGATCACTGAGCTATCTACTGAATTCAAGCTGAAGGCCTCGTCTCAACTAAACTAAACCAATTTTTTTATTTTTAGTATTTTTTCTTTTAGTTTTATTTGCTTATGTGGTACCAAGGAATCGAACCCAGGGCCTTACGCATGCTAGGCAAACACTCTATGCATTATTCCCCAGCCCCTTCTCCCCAAAAAAACCGGTATATAATTCTAATGTATTACTTTTAGGCACTCATGGGCAACGCACTATTATGCCACGACCTTTGTAGGCACAAGATAGATGGAAGAATCTAGAAACTAAGCACACACATACCTGTGCAGCATGTCCGGGGCCTGGTTCAGCAGTGTGTAATACTGTCTCACAAATTCCCGCCCGACCAGCAGGGGACTAGGCTTCTCCATAACCATTGCTTTGGTCAATTCAACCTGGAGGGAAAAAGAAATATGTCTGGGCTGGGAATGTGGCTTAGTGGTAGAGTGCTTGCCTAGCATGCATGAAGTCCTGGGTTCAATTCCCCAGCACCACATACACAGAAACAGCACCACATACACATACACAGAAGTGGCACTGTGGCTCAAGTGGTAGGGTGCTAGCTTTGAGCAAAAGAAGCTCAGGGACAACACCCAGGTCCTGAGTTCAGGCCCCAAGACTAGCAAAAATTAAAAGAAAGAAAGAAAAAAAAAAAAGAAATATGTCCAACTTAAAAGATCACAAGAAGAAAAAAAAAAAAAAAACTAGACCTTTTTGCTGAAGCCAACTCAAGAGATGTCACTTAAGCAATTCTCTACTTTACAAAGGGATAAAGATTCTAAGAATAGACCAAGCCCACATAGATCATGAGATCTGGTCCATTCAAATTTCTTACAATCAGCCCCACAAGGACTTGGAACAGCTCTCCCCAGTCACATTGTAGCAACTGTTTGCCCTCAGGCATCATTACATAGACACAGAAATAAATCTGCCTGCTAAGTCTTAAGGAAATGTACTTGCAGTTAGGCGCATGCCTAGAATCCTAGCTCAAGAACTATGATCTGAGGATCATGGTTCCAAGGCAACCTGGGCAGGAAAACCCATGAGACTCTTATCTCCAATTAACCACCAAAAGCTGGAAGTGGAGCTGTGGCTCCAAGTGGTAGAGCACTACCCTTGAGCAAGAAAACTCAGGCATATCACCCATGCGTTGAGTTCGACCCTCACAAGTAACACACTGACACACATACAAACACACAAACGTACTGGAGGGCAGACAAACCTGGAGCAGAATGAGATCCTGCTAACGCTGTGTATAAAATAATTCCAAGATTTTAAAAAACTAATTAAAATAATTTGTAGAATTTTTCACTGGCTTGCAATTCTTAAAAAAATTATAAAGGTAACGTGGGCACAAAAGATGTTCTAGAGTCTGAGAGTCCCTGTTTCTTCACTTAAACCCGTGCAATCACACATATGTACATGTCATGTAACATGCATTTCCTTTCTTAAAAGGCTTGGGCACTGCATGCCAGTGGTTCATGCTTGTAACCCTAGCTAGTCAAGAGGCTAAGATCTGAGAATCCAGGTTTGACACCAGCCCTCTGTGTGACTTTTCTGTCCAATGAACTACAAGAAAAGCCAGAAGAGGAGGTATGGCTCCAGTGGTAGAGCACCAGCCATGAGCCAAGTGAGAACTCCAACCCTGAGTTCAAGCCCTGCTAACTGGCACAAATAAGAAAAAAAGTATCTTGCCAGGCACTGGTGGCTCATGCATGGAAATCCTAGCTACTTGAGTGAGATCTGAGGATTGGGGTTCAAAGGCAGCCCAGGCAGGAAAAGTCTAAGAGACTCTTATCTCCAGTAAATCACTCAGAAAACCGGAAGTGGCACTGTGGCTCAAGTAGTAGAGCGCTCACCTTGAGCTGAAGAGCTCAGGAACAACACCCAGCCCAGAGTTCAAGGCCCACGACCGACGACAACAACAACAACAAAAAAAACAGTATCTGAGAGAGTCGACAAAAGCAAACATTTTCTTTATGGCCATTCACTAGCTGTGCCCTAAGACACAATTCAATCTAAAATTCAACCATAACTGGAACCAAAGTGGTCACTGTGGGATTGATTAGTATGAGCGAAGACCTTGTCCTAGGGTCCACTGCCAGAACCAAAAAGTAGCATCAACTGCTCAGGACTGAGGCATCTGATAACAGAGTACATGTTAGCATAAAAATATGTACAAGGGTGAATATTTCCTGAATAACCTTCTTAGTGAAAGAAGTATAGAGGCCCACTTCTAGTGACGGAGACAACTTGCCAAGATCCTGCTCAGGCTGCAGTAGCCCAAGCACTTCAGGAACATGATTCAGCCAATCAGAAATCCTGACAACACTCACTTTTCAATGGGTGCACTTCATTTATAAAATATAATGCTGGGCTGGGAAGGTGGCTCAGCGGTAGAGTGCTTGCCTCACATGCAAGAGGCCCTGGCTCCTCAGTAGCATATAAACAGAAAAGGCTGGAAGTGGCACTGTGGCTCAAGTGGTAGAGTACTAGCCTTGGGTTGAAGAGCTCAGGAACAGCACCTAGGCCTATGGTTCATGCCTCATGACAGACAAGAAAAAAAATAATAATAATAATGCTACTTATGCACAGACTGTAAAAAACCAACTCCCTGACTTATATTTCTGCCTGCTTTATTTTTGGTGGTATACAGGGATTTGAACTCAGGGCTTTACAGTATTGGTTATGTTCAAGATAGGATGTTTTTATGCCCAGGCTGATCTGGACTTTGATCCTCCTATTTGTGCTTCTTGGTGTCAGGATAACAAACCCAGGTCACCATGCCTAGTCATTGACTGAAGGTGAGTGGCAACTTTTCTGCCTATGCTGACCTCAAAAGTTCCCAAATAGCTGATTCGACTTAAGCATGGGTGTGTATTGGACACATGGACACACACACATACACAAACACACACCAGTCAGCCAATTACTGAAGCTTGAACTCAGGACCTTGCCCTCTTCCTAAAGTTTTTCACACTGAAAGTTGGAGCTCTACCATTTGAGTCACACATCCACTTGGGGCTTTTTGACGATTCAATGGAGTCTTAAGGATTTTTCTGTGGGCTAGCTCTGAACCACTGTCCTCTAATCTCAGCCTGAGTAGCTAGGGTAACAGGTGTGAGTTACCCCCTCAATGCATGTGATCCACCACTCAGGGCTGGGCACAGCAATTGAATGCAAAGTTCTAAACTAACAATGCCATGCTGGATTGAAAAGCAGCTAATACTTTCAACAGGCACTACTTTAAAATAATACACAAGAGCTAGGGGAAAGCACTGGATTAGCAATCGCCTGCCCCGTGAAAAAACGACACTTCTACAGAACCAAAATGCAGAAATACCTCTGGCACCTCAAGAAGTAACCATCACCCACTTCATTTTGGCTGTTCTGACCCCGGATATGAAATACTACAATCCAGCACTTTCTCATTAGTCACTTGATCCCCAGTTTCTACTGGCACAGCATTTCTTCAAAGTTTTCCACTAGTTATGAAATGATAAGGGTACTTCCTTCCTTCAGCTAGTCAACAGAACTATGAGCACTTTTGTCTTAATTTGTATGACTGCAGCCCTGGGATCAACCAGAATTAAATAATGAAACTTATTCTTTCTAACCAAATACAGCAGAATCTCTGGAAAATTCACTGGAAATGCCAGTATAACTTCTTGGGTTTTTGTTTTTGTTTTTCCTGCTGGCCTTGGGCTTGAACCAAGGGCCTGAATGCCATCCCTAAGCTTATTCAGCTCAAAGCTAGTGCCTTGAGCCACAGTTCCACTTCCAGTGTTGTGATAGTTAATTAGAGATAACAGTCTCATGGACTTTGCTACACTCACTGGCTTTGAACTGTGATCCTCAGATCTCAGCCTCCTGAGTAGCTAGGATTATAGACATGAGCCACTAGCGCCCAGCCCAAGCTAATTTTTTTAATATAGCAAAGTAATAAATATCCAGAATATCAAGCTCTGTACTAGCATGCATGTGCACACACATTCACACTAAAAAAGAAATTAAGGATGCCAGTGCTTCATGGCTGCAATCCTAGCTACTCAAGGAGATCATGGTTTGAAGCCAGCCCAGGCAGAAAAGTACTGGGCATTATCTCTAATTAACCAGCAAAATGCTTGCCTAGGAGCATGGCTCAAATGGTAAAGTCCAGCTGTAAGCAAAAAGGTCTAGCAAAAGCATTAAGATCCTGAGTTCAAGCCCTGGTACCAGCACAGGAAAAGCATATTAAAATTAAGTTTTTTAAAAAACCAAATATGTACTATGTAATAACCTGAAATGTGGCACAAAGTATTTTAGTACATGCAAAGCAGTGCCAGGTCCTACCCAGACACGTATGCCAATGTTGGACAAAGCTGGACATAAAAACAGACAAATGAGCCAGGTGCCAGTGGCTCACGCCTATAATCCTAGCTCCTCAGGAGACTGAGATGTGAGGATCACAGTTCAAACCCAGTCCAGGCAGGAAAAGTCCGTGAGACTCTTAATCTCCAATAAACCACCAGAAAACCGGAAGTGGCGCTGTGGCTCAAGCGGTAGAGCACTGGTCTTGAGCTGAAGAGCTGAAGGGACAGTGCCCAGGCCCAGAGTTTAAGCCCCACGACCGACAAAAAAAACACCACCAAAAACAAACAAAAAACAGACAAATGGGTAGGTGAAACTTCTTACAGTTCACAAACATACCCACACATAAATGGGCAACTAATTCCCAACCAGACAGAGTACTACAACATGCAGTGGTACACAGATGCTCAACTCATGATAGAACTGCACATTTATATACACACTCCAGAAAAGCAGCCACCTCAAGCCATCTGTGTGACAAGAGCAGAGACCGCACCCACCTGCAATCACATGGAAGGGTGGGGCCAAGGCCAGCCTGGGCTAGAGGGACTGTCTCAAAACACAAAACTGTGACACTACGTAAGAACTTTACATATGCCAAAAGCACATCTCCTAGGGAGGAGATAGTGACACACGCCTGCAATCCCTGCACTCAGGAGGGCCTAAGGAGACCCTGGCCCACACAGAAGCACTATGCATAACACATACATATATATACACACACATCTATATGCACATATACATATAAGCACAATACAGATTCCATGGTCTATAGAGAGGAAATGGATCAAATAAGAACAAAAGGTTTGAAGACACTTCAAAAAAAATTCAATATGAAGTGCCACTAGTAATTACATAAAATCCTTAGGGCTCGGGGTGGACTGAGGAGTAGGAAAAATGGCACCCTACCAGCCCTGGGCTCCATCCCCCAGCACCACAGAAAGAGCCGACTGCATATAAAAACTTATATACATAATGTTCATTGTAATAACCATCTCTCCCCTCCCCCAAAAAAGAACCACCACCAAATACCCAGCAATGCATG